CCAAACATGAGTCACAAGAACACACTAGATGCAAGCTTCTTCTAAACAGTTCTGTGACACTTTACAAAGAAGAAGTTGTACAAGTGACGAAGTGGGCGTCTTATGCTTCATATTGTTATTATGAAGATGAATTTTTAATAAAGAGTATTATGTCGTATAATATATTATTTATTAATAAAAGGCGTTTAATAACTAAAAGGTATAGGCATTTTTGAACAAAAACATACGAAGTTGCTACTTAATAACATTGGATTTGTTCCATGCTTTTCAATAAATGTTCTCACACGATGTTAGTTTTCATTTTACAACTCACATGAGTGTAATTTTTTTAATTTATTGCTTAGGTGGATAGATGAGCTCACGGCCCACCTGTGGTGGTTACCAGAGCCCATAAACATCTACAACGCAAATGCCGCCTCTTACCTTGAGATATGAGTTCTACGGTCTCATTTTTTATACTACCTATATAACGGCTACCCATGCCCTTCAGACCGAAACGAATTACTGCTTCACGGCAGAAGTAGGCAGGGTGGTGGTGCCTACCCGTGCGGACTCACAAGACATCCTAGTACCAGTATCATTTGAATTCACATTTATCCGCAATTTCACATTGTGGTAATGGAAAGGTTTTTTCAAATAATAATAATTCAACATAATGAATGAAGGATTTTAAAATGACGATCATATATTTCTTTTTCTATACATAATTCGGAAGGATTCTGATAAAAATGTTACCAGCTCTGTGACTGTCATTCTTAACTAGGTCGATACGTAAGAGAGAAGGGATTTAATAAGGGTGGTGAAGCAGCGAACCTTGTTTCAAGCTACATTAGTTTTGATGTATGGGATAAATCTGACTCCTTAGGGTCGAGGATTGTTTTCGGTTTAGTCGAAATTGGAGGTGTGAGACCGTTTGAGATTTGCTTGAGATTTTGGTCACTGCGTCTAGATGATCTGGATTGCGATAAGTTATATAAGTTTAAACATAATATGATTTGAGATATAAAGTGAAATTAATGTGATGAAATTCCAAGAAATACGTTAATTTAAACAGGGAGAAATGCAGACTATTCAATGATTCATTATGATGTTGATTCTACGAGATGATCAACAATTTACTGTTGGTAGGATGTCTTGTGACACACGGGTAGGTACCACCACCCTGCCTATTTCTGCCGTGAAGCAGTAATGCGCTTCGGCTTGAAGGGTGCGGCAGCCGTTGTAACTATACTGAGAGACATCTCAAGGTGGGTGGCGGCATTTAGGTTGTAGATGTCTATGGGCTCCGATAACGATTTAACACGAGGTGGGCCGTGAGCTCGTCCACCCATCTAAGCAATAATGAAACAATAAAAACAATACTATTGCATTGAAGTCGCTCAACGAATGATGTCGATGTACCCCTATCACACTTAGATACCTGGTAGCTGTCAGAATACTCCCGATCTAAACTTCAATCATCCGCTGCTCAAAGATTAAAATAGCCAATGCCAATACAAAAAGGAAATGAGCAATTAATACTACTAAATATAATTGAATTCTAATATAAATTCATTGCATATTAAATATACTCGACGGATGGGAAGTAATGTGTCGAGACTCCTTCCTGAATTAATTATTTACAACACCACAATAGCGCGCTCTTTAGATACCGAGTCGTGTCGCCAGATAACACCGCGCGCAGTAAAGAAACTTTGCTGGGGTTCAAATTTATTTGAGACTGTTTGGCTAATGGATGTGACTACAGTGCTAGGGAAGGCGGCCATCTAATAAATTGGAAATTAATTCATAGTAGAACTGCGTTAACACTGATCATCCATATTTTGGACTTTCTGCCATCATTTACCAATTACCTAATACTCCATTTTTATACTAATACTAGCCGTACTCGCCTGCTTCGCTGGGTATTTAAAATTAACATTATTATTTAGTGTCATTATTATTATGGAGTCCAACACTCATATAAATATTAACCTATCCATTAAGTACTTGTGTCTGAAGTGGAGAACTCTCTGGGGCGAGTCTCCGAATGGGGTAAATTGAACTTGGTTCAATTCAACCCGTTGAAGACACAAGTTTGCGCGTTCACTGCGAAGAAGGACCCCTTTTTCATGGCGCCGCAATTCCAAGGAGTATCCCTACAACCTTCCGAGAGTATCGGCATACTTGGGGTCGACATTTCGAGCGATGTCCAATTTCGGAGTAATTTGGAAGGCAAAGCCAAGTTGGCGTCTAAAATGCTGGGAGTCCTCAACAGGGCGAAGCGGTACTTCACGCCTGGACAAAGACTTTTGCTTTATAAAGCACAATTCCAGCCTCGCGTGGAATACTGCTCACATCTCTGGGCCGGGGCTCCCAAATACCAGCTTCTTCCATTTGACTCCATACAGGAAAGGGCCGTTCGGATTGTCGATAATCCCATCCTCACGGATCGCTTGGAGCCTCTGGGTCTGCGGAGGAACTTCAGTTCCGTCTGTATTTTGTGCCGTATGTTCCATGGGGAGTGCTCTGATGAATTGTTTGAGATGATCCCTTCATCTCCTTTTTATCATCGCACCTCCCGCCATCGGAGCAGAGTTCATCCATATTATCTGGAACCGCTGCGTTCATGGACAGTGCGATTCCAGAGGTCTTTTTTGCCACGTACCATCCGGCTATGGAATGAGTTCCCCTCCACGGTGTTTCCCGAGCGCTATGACATGTCCTTCTTCAAACGAGGCTTGTGGAGAGTATCAAGCGGTAGGAAACGGCCTGGCTCTGCCCCTGGCATTGCTAAAGTCCATGGGCGACGGTAACCACTCACCATCAGGTGGGCCGTATGCTCGTCTGCCTACAAGGACAATAAAAAAAAGTACATGTATTTTCTACACGGATACCAAGTTTCAAGTCAATATGATGCATGGTTCAGTAGTTATAACGGAACATCCGTAAAAACAACTGTGGATTTATATATTAGGTATAGACATATCTGGATAGACAAAAGAATGAATAGATTTCTGTAATTATTTTACTTTCACTTCTTAGATATCTGATCTATATTTAATACGCTTCCTTAAATCTTCACTAACTCAATGGTGCAGTAGTTACCAGCGCGGTTGCACTAGGGGTCGTGGGTTTTAATAAAAAATTGTTTTATGAACATATTTTTTTGCTCCTTATCAGAGTATTTATGATCTATATAATTATGTATTTATTTAAAGGTATAAATGTAAGTATGGATGTCAGTCTCTGCTACCCAAAACACGTGGAATTCTAATTGGTGCTGGATGACCGAGCGTAATTTGTTCCCAGTTACTAATTTAGTTATTATTCATTTATATACTTATTAATTTTAAGAAATTACACACGTTTACGGTTGAATTTAATACAGGCACGGCGCTGTCTGCTTTATAAATAGCATAATGGTTATGTTACATGGTTTAATTTGAAAATGTAAATGCGCCACATCTCTTGCGGTATCACTTAGACGCTCAATGAATTCTCGATGCGTTCATGATTTACTACCAGATACAGATCATTGTTAACAGATTCTAGAGAGGTGCATTTTACGATGATTCTTAAAATAAACGGCGATGGAACAGCAATGGAATATCACGGTTCTCTACTTATCAATGAATCTACTCGATATTTTTAGAATATAATTAAATGCCAGTGGTAAAGTAAGATGCATTTGCATTTGCAATTGTGACTTCCGCATCATTTCTCAACATGGCTGATGGTTTTCGCTTTAGGGGCTGTTCATAGGTTTTGGTAACTGCTCAATATAGCTTGTCTATCTATTACCATGTTTAGAAGTGGCTTTGAAATCTTAGCTTAGATCGTTTCGTTGGTCAGGTCAGTAGTTAGTGTCAATAACTAACACTGTAAAATCGTCGTTTTGGAGTCGTCGTGACCTAAAATCTATCGATGCAACGGTATTCGAGTCCCACAGACGGGTACCAATTTCTTGACAAATGTTCACAATTGACTTCCACGGTGAAGGAATAACATCGTGTAATAAAAATAAAATCTGCAAAATTATAATTTGCATAATTACTGGTGGTAGGACCTCTTGTGAGTCCGGACGGGTATGTATCACCACCCCCCCTTTTCTGCCGTGAAGCAGAAATGCATTTCGGCTTGAAGGGTGGGGCAGCCGTTGTAACTATACTGAGACCTTAGAACTTACAGCTCAAGGTGGGTGGCGCATTTTACGCTGTAGATGTATATGGGCTCCAGTAACCACTTAGCACCAGGTAGGCTGTGAGCTTGTCCACCCATCTAAGCAATAAAAAAAACATTGTATTTGTCCTGTTATTAAATATCTAGCGAATATAAAAAAAAAAACTTTAAGAAACAAACAAACACTTATGTTTGAGTGCTATAATCCTGTTAGTTTAAATTCCAAAATCCGCTGTTCTATGAATTCTAGTACACCCTAAGCTCATTGTAGAAAGTTGCATCGTTCTACGCGAGGGAGACAATTATCGTCCGCTTCGTACCGCTCCCGATCACGTAAGTTTGTGCACTTGAAAGCTCTTACGAAAACTACGTGCTTTCTTACATTCTTCCACGGCTAATTACTGTGTTCGAACTATTTTGTTGTTGAATTGAAGATTCCTTTTGCATAACTTATCTGATTTGGATTAACAGCAGTATCATACCAGACCAGGCAGAGCTAAGCCGATGCTTACCGTTTTGACTGTTTTGTTTATTGTAAGGTTATTCTTTCTCTATAAATATTTACTATTCGCGAGCTTTTGCTTAGATCTTTTTTCATAGTGTCTTAACTCTGGCGAACAAGAAATGAGACATAGGACAAAATTTAATATCATCGTTACTTGTCACAATGTTATTATACCACCAGATAGCGACCCGCTAGCTTTAAGCGTATCTAAATACGTTTTCTAAAAGGAAGACTATTTTCGAGATGAAATTTAGTATGAAGTATTTAGTATTACGTAGCATTTAATTAACGAGACTTGAAAGATATACTTCGTAAAAAGAGTTCAAAACCTTACCTGTACAGTGGTATTCCAGCATCATCTCTGAACCAGAATACCATGTAGACTTTATCATTGGCTGCCGTTCCAAGGTCGCAGGGGAATTGTGCCACCATCCCTTCGACGGCCTGGACGTCTACTGTCCTGACACCAGCTGCAACAAAAAAATATTAAGTTCAATGTTGGTACGAAAAAGCATAGAAGCTCTGAACCCATCCAATTGTACCCAAGCTAAGCCTTGTGCAAGAGCTTATAATATAAAACAATTAGAATTTTTAAATGTCATTGCCATACATACACATTAACTCAAAACTCTCAGATAAGTATATAAATATCTGTTAGTGAGTTTATGGATGATACATATAAGGCAATACATATAAGGTAATTCTATAGACTTTGAAATCTTTCGCTTCTCATCATCTCGGATCAATTTAATTGGAGGATCCAAATAAAAGATATACAGTCTGAGAGAAAGGCTGGCAAATGACAATGAACTTCGATCTTTTTTTTTATTATTGAAGGATTACTGGTGGGCCGGAGACTTTTCCAGTTTCACCACCATTTAATATTCGTACCAGGTGAAGTCAGAGACTACCTGCCTAACTAGCGTCATAAAATTCAGTAATCCTGCTCTAAGGTTACAAATCATAATTTCTATGTAGCAAACACCTACAGCACCTGGAAAACATATTTTTGTTCATAAACTATCAAAACTAAACACCATTAGTTTCCTAAAACTGGTCTTTAAGTCAAACCACGAGTTAGATAACGAAATCTCGACGGCGCAGCGTACAATAGTTTCCCGATTCCCATCGGTGAGTCTCGACTCGCTTCCGTTTCTCGTTATAATACTAATGGGCTCGAAGGGAGTACATTATTGTATCGTTGCCACTTCTGGGAGCGCTCCGGAGTTCAACAATTTCATAACTACAAGACTTGCGGGTTTCTAGGGACTCTCCTCCTCCAGTTGAAATTGAGGGCTACATACAAGTTGCAATATCTTTAACCAAGCGAGGCTTAATCTCGTTAAACTATATTTGCAAAAAAATAAATATAACTTCCTCGAGCAATTATTTATTTTATTCCCTTTGTAGGCAGATGAGCATACGACCCACCTGATGATAAGTGGTTACCGTCGCTCATGGACGTCAGGAATGCCAGGGGCAGAGCCAAGCCGCTGCCTACCGTTTAATGCTCACCACAAGCCTCGTGTGAAGAAGGACATGTCATAGCGCTCGGTAAACACCGTGGAGGGGATCTCATTCCAAAGCCGGATGGTACGTGGCAAACAATATCTCTGGAAACCACACTGTGGATGACCGCAGTGACTCCAGGTAGTATGAATGAAATCTACTCCGGTGGCGGGCAGTGTGATGGTAAAAACGAGATGATGGTATCATCTCAAATAATTCCTCTCAGATTTACAGTTAATCTCAAATATATGTGGCACTTAAATATGTTTTTATTTTTTTATTGCTTAGATGTGTGGATTAGCTCACAGGCCACCTGGTGTTAAGTGGTTACTGGAGCCCATAGACATCTACAACGTAAATGCGCCACACACCTTGAGATATAGTTCTAAGGTCTCAGTATAGTCACAACGGCTGCCCCACCCTTCAAACCGAAACGCATTACTGCTTCACGGCAGAAACAGGCGGGGCGGTGGTACCTACCCGTGCGGACTCACAAGAGGTCCTACCACCAGTAAATAGTATAAGTATATCGTAATAATACTCGTATTATATGAACAATAAATAATATTATATGAACAAAGAGCCCTAAAAGCTGGAACTTGACATTTCCAAACTCTCATCGACACAAAAAGAATCATCTGCACCGCTGCTAGACAAGAACTTATTCAAATGCCCTCATTATGTCTAAAGTTCGTCGGCTATTCAGAGATCGACTCAAATTAAGCCTTTCGGACATTTTCAGGTAGAGCGGAGTCCTTTTCTGACGAAATAACAGGACTATAGCGACGGCTGGAGCATAATTAATATTTAGGTTTATAAACCTGCCCGGGCTACCTGACAGTGCTCAAAGCTCTACATTTCTACGGCTACTGAATAGCTTTCGTGGTATCTTCTATTATGTGCCAGTATTACTGTGAATTTCATTATTAGGTTTTATTAAGTTCTGGGTAATAATTTTGGGTAATCGGCTCTTAGTTTAGCTGGCGTTTAGTGATTTCTCGTTGGATATTTTTTTGAAGTGATTATAGTTATATTGTTATAAATTTCTAATTATATAATTCTGAGTGACATCGTTTTGATAAAGCTCTTCTCTGATTAGTGTCATGAGTTCGGGACTGATTTGATGTTAGATTGTTTCGAGTGCTTATAGATAAGCCTTAAGTTTTATGACATAAGGTGCCATGCCGCAAGTGTCGTCCGGTGTGTATATAATGTATACATTGACTGCATCGCGAAAGTTGCGCTGTATTATGCGCCCGTTCAGTAAGTATTGCCATCCTGTCAGTTACTATCCGCAAAGTAGTTAAGTATTTCGGTTCGATGGGTTCGGATTCTGTGGATGGTTCTGTGGGGTGGCATTTAAAGATGCAATATTTTTAAGCTCCGCCAATATTGTAGAGTTTTTTTACTTATGAATGAAAGCAATCGTTGTTGTTCGTGATATTTTTACATTATTATTAAACATATTGTCATAATTGATCGTCGTAGCCTAAAGGATATAACACCCGGTGCATTTGTATCAAGCAATACAACAAGGCTGGTGTTCGAATCACGCAGGCAGGTACCAATTTTTCATACGAAATACGTACGTTAGCATATTAAACGCCATTCGGGCCAAGCCAAAATCTTGAAATCAATAATTTTTATCAACTTGAGATTTTTATTCTAAAACTAGATGACCCGGCAGACTTCATAATGCCTCAATCGATAAATAAAAGACCTAAACTTATGTATAAAATAAACTTAAAACAAACAAAAGGAATCCGTCGGACGGGGGACACATCAAAGGGAAAACAAAATTGTTATTTTTATTTAATTCCGAGCATTTTCATATTTATCTACCTTTTAAACCTTCTCTGGACTTTCACAAATAATTTAAGATCAAAATTAGCCAAATCGGTCCAGCCGTTCTCGAGTTTTAGCGAGACTAACGAACAGCAATTCATTTTTATATATATACATTTATAAAATGCGATATTTGCACGGAAGAAAAAAAATTGCGACTTATACCGTTTTTAAGATATTTTGGAAGGCTATAATCTTGATAAAAACTACAAGTTTCTATTGGATTTGAAAACCAAGTCGTTTGGTTCAGCTAAAGGGCCACGCGGCTCACTTCCATACGCGTGAGGCGGGCAGCCGTTCTAATGTAAGAAATGCTACCCTAGAAGTCAGGTCTCAAGATGGGTGCATTTACGCTGCACATGTTTTGTAGATAATGATGGTCGGGTCGGGTCGTGAGTTCGTCCATAAAAGCAATAAAAAATGATATATCTGTATTTACACAAAGTATAAGAAAAAATAAATAGATATATACTACAATCTATATTATGTATTTAGAGCAAGGCAGTATTTTTATTATCTCTGCAAAATGTGTACAGCGCATTATACATCTATAAAATTATCTTCAAAAACTTGTAACAATCTTATCGTCATTTTTTTTTTCAATGAATCTTATAAAGAGTTAATTACAGTGAAGCGCTGTCAAAGAATCAATAAACGCGGCAAGTAGTAGATGCGACAGTTAATAGCCTGAGCTCATAATGTGAGTGGCAGCGCCGAGGTGCCTCGTAACGGGACGACAGTTTGTCACCGGTCGTGTGTAGGGCTGGGCTCTATCACAAAACTTGGAAATAAAAAAATATTTATTTATTTTATATATTTTTTACACACACAGCTGTTAGAAGAAACACGCCAATAAGGATACAGAGTAAAAGGGCACTACTTATTTCATGTTGAAATCTCTTCCAGTAAGCCCGCGGAAGGAAAGAAGAATTAGGAACACAAACCTAGTTCATACAGTAAACATTATACATATAATAATATATACATATTACAAGATACAACACAAAATTGTTGCTTTAAGAAGAAAAAAATAGAATATTATGGTTTCCCTTATGATTCTCAACAGAAACTCAGCATGCAGTGACTGGTTTATGGCATCTTCAACTCTAGTGCGTTTATCTTAGATCCTATTTTTAAAATTAGTATTTCGACAAACTGTTTAGAATAGTTGTTTTCTAGAAGTTACAAACTGAAACATCTAAATCTACGTCATCACTTTTTAATTTAAAAACAATGATTAATAATCGTTTCAGATTTATTCGGTTCAATTTCCAAATTTTATAAATTCAATTGGTTTTATGGAAATACAATTTACTGCAAATTCTCATCCGCTCACGGCACTAAGATACAGTCTGGTAGTATTAGTTTGAAATGTTTTTGTTCCACAACATTGATTTCAACCCTACTATAGAAGACACGGTGAGCGATCACCGAATTTGTAGCCCTAATGAGTATACTGCAGCGCTGTCAGTGACTACTCACCGACTTTTAAGACAGACGAGATTTTAATGGACCGTATTGAAAGGTGATTTGTAATACTGCCCATGACCAAATTGAATTATATAAATTTATGTCTCTCCTTTGACAAATTACACTTTTCAAGTTGAATGGGATTTTCTTTGATCTATCGGTATCAAAATTCAAAGTCGTAAATTTCGCTGTTGGTACTTTTCAAATATCGTTTTATAGTTACATTATTGACTAGAATCACGAGCATGATTATTTTAGATCATAAAAAGATACACTCTTTACAAATTGTGGAAATATTCAAAGAAATGTAAGTTTGTAACGCAAACGATCAATAAGTAATGTATTTTTTATTTATTGCCCCTGTAGGCAGACGAGCATACGGCCCACCTGATGGTGAGTGGCTACCGTTGCCCATGGACTTCAGCAATGCCAGGGGCAGAGCCAAGCCGCTGCCTACCAAAATACCGTTTAATAGTTAGCACGCGTCACAGGCTGTGAAGCGTGGGCTGTCAACCCGTTTACAGCAAATCCTGTCTCACTGAGGATATCGCGGTACGTATTGTGGAAATACACTAATTAAAACTAGCCTAGAAACTACTATGCTACGAGACTACGATGCTGGAACGAGTTAGAAAAACACAGTTATATTTTGAAAACAGTTATATTTTGTATTAAGATTACTATAATACACATGACTTACTTCTCATCATCACGATGTTGGATCGAATCATTATCCATTTAACTCTAAAAAAGCATGTTATGAATGTCAATGTGTCAATATTTGTAAAATAAATACAAATATCCTCAAATGTTATCTAGTACAAGTAGAGTTTCTGTTAATAACAATACGGATACATGTATGTACATATGTATATATGTATGTATTAGATTGTACCATACGACTAGATCGCGTCATTATAATCTGCGGTAGCTCATTAGTAAGAATAGGGATGACACCTATCATTATTAATTGTCTTAATAAAGGAGTTTTAACCGCTTTCAATGTCCTCGAAATATGACTCACATCGCAAGAAAAAGGGAATGTCCAATGCATTGATTCTTGCGAACAGTTTTCTATAGGAGTATTTTAGTTTTTATTTGTTTACACACTTTTTTAATGTAATATTAGGTGTACTTATCACGCGATATGGAGTTGTGTGCTGATGGTTGATTCTAAATCCTTTTCTTATGTTCATTTTAACATCGTTTGACCATATTTCTATTTTGAAAATTGGTGATATGAGTTCTTCTGAATTGGCACAACCTTCCTACCTGTTTCTATTGAAAATAAATCAAGAGACTTAAACCGTAAGGCCGGATTATAATGATTCTAATGTAGCTTAGATTTTGACTTTAATGTCTTAGAGTAAGTAGCAGCTTTAACTCGTATTGATTGATTTTACACATCAGGATAAAATTTAATGTGCATTTTATACCTTTAAACGAGCAATTCTTGTATATTAATATATGTGTATATAATCTGAATGTCGGAAACGGCTCCAACGATTTTCATAAAATTTAGTATACAGGGGACTTCGGGGGCAATAAATCCATCTAGCTACGATTTATTTTCAGAAAATGTTGTTTTATTCGTGTTTTCAATAATCAACTCTTCCCGACATCTATTGGCGAATAATAATACTATTGTACTTAATTGAGGGCAACTAACAATTTTAAAGACACAACAAGATGGCGTTATCAAAAAAAAAAACGTCTAGTTTATCATTAAATCAGATCAACAAAGTTGTTCATTAATATATTTTTAGAATCGTAACAGCCCTAACATTGTGGTCGACTCTACCTGTCCGATTTTAATTACCATCACAATAATTCAACAAGCTAATTATAAGCGGCCGCACTACAAGTATCTACATGACTCTGTATAACTATAACGAATGTATTGTAGTTATTTGGTGAAAAGGGTAGAGTAACTTATAAAGTTTTGTTATTTTACTTGGAATTTAGGTGCTGTCTTATAGAGGGCAAATTGTAACACATGCAAAAAAATATATTGGATGCCTGAGGTCAAATTGGTACGAAATGAAAGTAGAATACCTATTCTAATATTATTTAGCGGTATAAAATTGTTCTACCGTCACCAAAATTATAATTTTCATAATACTGAAGTCAACTAATGGATTGGCGGGTTCTTTCTTAATAATTAATTCTTAAAAACTATAGACATATTAAATACAAAAATCAAAACCAACATTATTATTTTTTTTTTTTTTTTTTTATTGCCTTTGTAGGCAGACGGGCATACGGCCCACCTGATGGTGAGTGGTTACCGTCGCCCATGGACTTCAGCAATGCCAGGTGCAGAGCCAAGCCGCTGCCTACCGCTTAATACTCTCCACAAGCCTCGTTTGAAGAAGGACATGTCATAGCGCTCGGGAAACACCGAGGAGGGGAGCTCATTCCATAGCCGGATGGTACGTGGCAAAAAAGATCTCTGGAAACGCACTGTGGATGACCGCAGTGGCTCCAGGTAGTATGGATGAACTCTACTCCGGTGGCGGGCNTGTCGCGAAAAGGAAGACCTACAACATAACGACCCAAACTGTCCCTAGTTGTAGTGGATTCAAAGTATCTTTCACAGGATTCTTCTTCCTTGGATAAAAGTGGATGATGCTAGTCAGTTTCAATCTCCCAGAACTGACGCAGCAAATCATTGATTGAGTTGTCATGGGTATGTGCGCTAATAATGTAAGGAGTATCCCCACTAACCTAAACTCGTCCCGACAGGATCCATCCCAGCTGTGTATTTTGAGCTGTCAAGGTTCCAGGTGGATTTCTCAATATGCCTTCTGACAAAACCTGACCATACACATCAGCGCCTAGTAGAAGATCTATATTGCTTGGTGTACCATATCCTGGATCAGCCATCTGCAATTGCAACAATACCGGCCAATCCCTTGTTGGATACATTAACTAATGCGGTAGCTAACATTACTTGACTACTTGATCTCATTTCACTGTTAGAAAAATGGCTGACAACACGCTCCACGTGATCCGCCACCTACGGTTCTTGTGCTGGCTCCCGCTGTTGATTAGCGGGCTGACTAGGGCCCGCCAGGGCCGGATTGTGTGTGCCGCCTTCCTGGTGCAGCAGCGAGTGATGACGTCGACCACAGCGCCGACAAGCCGTGCGTCGTTTGCACTGTGTTACCGAATGGTTAGCTCCGAAGCAATTGAAACACAGTTTTCTCTTCTGGATGAACTCTCGGCGATTCTTGATGGCTTCTTGTACAAATTTCTTGCATTGATAAAGCAAGTGATCTTCCGAACAGAATGGGCAGGATACAGACGTCGTCACGCTGAACACCTTCGGTTTATCCGCTGCATCTTTGCCTCTAGACTCTCTTCTTTGGTTTGGTTCTAAAAAATCGAGTGCTCGATATCTTGATTCCAGGAATGATTGGAACTCGCTTAGTGTAGGCAATCGATCAGCCTGTTTGCTTAGTTTTTGTTCCCATTGTTCCGGGATTCATTATCCAATTTTATTGTGATGAGATATATAATCAGGATGTCCCATGTCGATACAGGTAGGTATACCAAGATTAGATAAAGCGTGCAAGCAATCATTTGTCGTATATTCCCTTGTTATTCTAGACGCAGATGACTTTTTGAAATTAATCTGTGCCTTAAATATCTTATTTTGAACATCGGTTTGTAATTTAATATAACTGTCCGGGCCCATCAACGAAATAGTTTTGTGTTAATTACGGCTTGTAACGTTCTTTTGCACTAACAAATTATTGTTTATCATTAGTTGTTTTCCTATCCGGCTCGTATTGGACCATGTTCGACTTTCCGAGGGATGATTATGAAAATAAACTTGGATTAGAAAAACTTGTATATTCAATAAAAAATCAATAATCTAGGATACAGTGTCACTTATGACAAGGGTATCATGACAACGGATTTGCGTATTACAGCGCTCTCTAGTGACGGTTTTAGGAGTTGGAAAAAACAGGGTGAACACATGGTAGTGTGTGTAATGTTTTTTTAATGTATTTTTTTAAGCATAATTTAAACAAATTTTATCATTCTGCACTCCTTTTCTATATTCTCTTATAAGTGTGAGATATTTCATACTCCTCCGTCCGCGCATTTTTCGTAAAAAGGAGTATAAAGTTCTTGCTTCACGTATTAATATATAGATTTATGTAGTAATTAGACATTTTTTTAAGAATTGAAATAAAAAAGGTTTCGTTATATTCTATTTGATTCCGGGACCCTAAAACATGATATCTAATTCTGACAGCTTTCTTAATAACACTAGAGTTTTCAGCCTATCCACTGGTAGAAGCAGACGATAAATCAAAGTCTATAAACTTTCTTCTTGTTAGTAAAAGTTCGTAAGGATGGCCTTAGCTAAAACAATGAAAGAAAATATAAACTTTTAAATTCATGGACGGTAAATAAATTAACGATTTGAGTTGGTGAAAATAAAATTCGAAACTATTTTGAACATTTTCATAAAAACTTCCTTCTTCTTAATTCTCCTTCATTCTCCTGTGGCGTCTCCACTAAAGATCATTTGCTTGTAAATTTTTCATCAAGCAGCTTGACTTGCAGTCATATTGACAGCCTTGAAGACAGAATGTAGAAAACAAAGGTGTACAATGTACAACTAATGTGTGTTTCCAGTGATGTCCTACGTTTCCGAAAGACCTTTTTAGGAAGCTTTGTGTCATTTTGTGTTCAAGCTTTGTGGAGCTTTGTGTTCTCGTCCAAAATCCCTCAGTGCCTGAAGACAAAAGTGTACAACCAATGTATCTTACCAGTGATGGTTTACGGTTCTAAGACGTGGTGCTTCACAAAAGGTATTTTTAGGTAGCTTAGTGTCATGCAGCGACCTATGGAGAAGGCTATGCTTTGTATTTCTCTACTAGACCGAATCAGAAATGAAGAAATCCGTAGAAGAAGCATAGTTGGCTGATATAGGATTAATAAGCTGAAGTGGCAGTGGGCAGACCACATAGCGGGAAGATCGGACGGTTTATAGGGTAGAAAGATCCTCGAGTGAAGACCGTATACTGACAGTTTGAGACGGCCATCTACCAGATGAACTGACGACATAGTGAGAATCTGAAAATTTTCACTGGTGGTAGGACCTCTTGTGAGTCCGCGCAGGTAGGTACTACCGCCCTGCCTATTTCTGCCGTGATGCAGTAATGCTTTTCGGTTTGAAGGGTGAAGTAGCCGTTGTAACTATACTGAGATCTTAGAACTTATATCTCAAGGTGGGTGGGCATTTACGTTGTAGGTGTCTATGGGCTTCAGTAACCACTTACCAACAGGTGGGCTGTGAGTTCGTCCACCCATTGAAGCAATAAGAAAAAAAAACGAATACAATGATTTTTAGTTTCAATAAAAATGTCCAAAATCTAACGCGTCTGACGAAACGCTAATCTTTCCCGGAACGCGGAGAAAATTCTAATATATTCATTATTAAACTCACGTAAACAGTAAGTTTAAACAAAAATAATAAAGATAAGCGTAGACTCGAAGCTGATATCAATTGAAATCGTACCTTTCTTACAAATAAACCTTCAAGGAATGAACTAACAGTCGCTGGGAATGAACGAAATGTTCATTATTTTATATACGTTACACGCGTTTAGTCTAAAATTACACAAGGAGTTTTTGGGGCATACTTTACGTACAAAACGTCAGGCCGTTTTATCTATACTACTACTAATATAATATACAACATGTAACATAT